TGGTCCCTGATCTCAGTTGGGTGCTACCGTAATACACTTAATAACATTGCAAATGATTATTAACGACAGCACTGGGCCAGTCTGAGCACAGCTCGCTATAGCCTGTGAAGTGCAATCTGCAGGGAGTCACAGACAAGGAGACAGAGAGCAGGTTAGGAGCAGATCCCTCAGGTATTTGCTCCAAAGGGATCCAGCCCTTCTCCTTGGGGGATGCTCTGCTTCCGTGGGAAACTCTGGGACATTCCAGTGAATCGCCTAGTGCAGGTCTCCTGGGTGGCGTGGAGTTCCCCTCTGCTCTCAGATCCCTGCCAGAGAACCAGCAGAACAAGTTTTGAATGTAGGTCAGACCTGACCTCTCCAGTGGGAGGATGGGCTTGTGGCTTAAAGCACAGGCTAGGACAGGGTGCCAGGACTCCTGGGTTCCGTCTCAACTCTGGGTTGGGAGTGGGGTCTAGTGGTTAGAGCAGCAGCTGGGAGTCAGGACATCTGGGTTCTGGGAAAGGAGTGGGGAGCTAGTGGTTAGAATATGGGAGCTGGGAGGTCAGGACTGGTGGGTTCTGTTCCCTGCTCTGGGAGGAAAGAAGAGTCTAGTGGTTAGAGCTGGGGCCTGGGCAGCTGGATGCCTGGGTTCTGCCCCCACCTCTAGAAGGGAGCGTGGCATAAGGGCCAGAGCAAGGGGTGAGGCACCAGGATTCATGGGTTCTAATTTCAGCTCTGCCACTGATGTGCAGTATGACCCTGGGCAAGTCACTTCCCATCTCTAGGCCCTTCTGTTAAGCAGGGACCCCGCTACCCGCCTCACACAGGGTTTTTCCACAAGCCGCAGCCTTTACCAATGCTGTGTGACGAGCCGGCAGCCTCGGACCAAAATTAGAACGGCTCCCAAGTGACTCTGAATAGAATCACTGCAGCCATTCATAAACATTAGCTAATGAGTCCCCGAGGCTCGGTGCGTACTCCAAGGGCAATGCCAGCTGCTGACATTCTGCTGGGGGTAGGTGACTCGGGAGGGTAACTAAGGTGGTGTGGCCATTACTGGAAAGCATTGCGATGGCTGGTAGCTGCCTCTGCTAATTCGGGCAGCTGCAGCTGCCCATGCTATGGGGTCAGGCCCTGTTCATCCATTGAACTTACCATGGGAAATTCGCTCTGGAAGCCAGAAATCGCTGGGCTGGTTTTAACCCCCGAGCTGCCGGGCAGGTTTAGGCCAGGCGTGATTGGGTTTTTATGCACTCACGTCGGCTGAGCAAGGGGGGTCCCATTCCCAGTGGGGAGGTCCCATTCGCTGGAATCTCAGATCTCCTTTCCAAGCTCCCACCATCAAGATCAGATTTCCCAGAGCTCAGCTCCCATTTAGACACCCAGGGAAGGGCCAGGTTTTCAAAGGGGTTTAGCAGGCAGCAGCTCCCAGCATGGCTGGATGGTCCCGACGTTCTGAGCTCATTTCAGAGTCTGGTCCATGGGGCTGGATTGGCCCAGCTGGCTGATTGCTGGGCTGGGAGGTGCCACTGTACAGCACCAGCGCAGGCAATGGGAGCGTCAGTTTCCCCCCCTTCCCAGCTCATCCCGGAGTAACTCCTCGGGCGGAGAGGGAAGTTTGGCCTCCCATGCAATCCTTGGGACTCCCTGCAGAGCCCCTCGACAACAGGAACCGCTCTTCACCATGAACTGGGCTGAGACCCACGGAACTCATCTCACCCACAGGCCAAACGGACACAGATTCGAGTCTTGCCCGGGCTGGTAGCAATCAGCATCTACACCATCCAGATCACCAGCACTAAGGGCTCTAACTGCTCCTCCACTCCTCCACATGGCCGCTTCAGCAAAGGGGCCGAGGACAGACTAAGCTCCCGTCTCCCCACTAGAGGGGATCCAGGATGGGAATCTTCTCCGACAGAAAGAAACAGACTCACACATTTGTGCACTCCGTGGCAGGGGAGACACGGTTCAGTCTGGCCTGGGACTCAGGAGTCCTGGGGTCTAATGACTTTGGGCAAGTCGCCCCTCTGTGCCTCAGTTTCCCCATAGGTAACAAAGGGATGGCGATCATGACCGTGACCTCCTTTAAAGCACTATGAGATCTACTGATGTCAAGTACTTAGATGGAAGCTAAGTATTATTAGGAAACGTTATTGTTATTATCAGGCTCTTGAGGAGTGTGATTGCATTATTCATGCCTCAGAGGGTTCACAGACATCCGAGAGCGAGTTAGACTTGTGACCCAATCCTGCCGGTTGTCCTCGCACCTTTTATAAGGGCAGAAAGTGTGTGGTTTGTGCTCTTGGCCAGTTTCCCTTCCCTCCTTCCCAAGCCAAGTAGTCATGCTGTCACTCACCCCAGAGTGGGCTGCATTTCCATGGCTATGGGATTTTTCAGAGGTTGCCATCCTAACAACACACACACAAGGGTCAGCTTCACACAGTGAGAGATGTTACAAAGCAACTGTGGTTTGGTGCGTTCCTAGGCTACAAGGTAGGAGACTAAATCACCATGGCCTCATGTCACCTAAACACATATTTAGATCTATTCCTATTCAGCAAAGCATTTAAACATGTGCTTAAGTCCCATTGGGACTAGACTCGACCCATGAAGTTAAGTCTGGGCAAGTCTTTGCAGAATCAAGGCCTTAGCTCTGTATTCTTCAGCATACAGCATTTAACAACAAATATATTGAAATACCATATAATAAAGCAATCCAAAGACCTCAGAGACCCACCACTAGCCAAGCATCTTTATATTTAGCTATACATCTTCCTATTCAAAAAGAAATCCTGAGTTTGAGAAGGAGCAGTAGAACAGTCCATCTCATCTATGTCTCAGTCTCTACTTACTTTCAATGTGCCTATCAACCTGGTATACGAACTCAATATTACTACAGATCTGCTGCCACATCCAGCCTTACACAGGAACAAGAGGGGGAATATATAGTCTCATTTGCCTCTACTGTCTTGTATTTTAGATTGTAAACTCTTTGGGGTATGGGCTGTCATTTAATATTAATACAACTCCTATGCACAGTGGGGTCCAACCTTGTTGATCTTTAGGCACCACCGCTCAGTACATGTGAAATCATAATATTCTGGCACTTGCACATTTCCAATTCACTTTGCAAAACTCTGACAAGCACGAGATCCCAATGAAAACTGCAGCAACAAACATTACATGGGGAGGTAACCCAGCCTTCAACATTGTGGGAGCAAATTCCTATTAAAGGTGAAATTTTCAAAAGCATCTAAGTGACTTAGTGCCACTTAATGCATACTGCTCTAGGTGTCACTTTCAAGAGACGGACTCCTGAGGCGCAGATCCTCAAGGGCATTAAGGCACCTAAGTCCTCTGGGCCTCAGGCAGTTCAGTGTCATTGAAAGTCAATGGCACACAGGCACCTAAATCACTTAGTCACCTTTGAAAATTTCACCCCGAGCTGAGAAAGAACTAGGGACGCCGGAATGCCAATTTAGCAGCGATCCAAAATTGCAAAACTGCTGAAAGTAAAATACTGTGATCCAAAATACAAATGAAAATGCATACCAGAGACTGCAATATTCCTACCAACCTCCACCATTCAAATAATTAATAACTCCAAAGTTGATGAAATAATAAAATAATGAAACTACAAATAATAACAACCAGCCAAACATTGCTGCAACCGCAAGTCAAACCAGCAATTTAGGCTCTGATCCTACAAACCTTTACACACCTGCTTTAACTCCACTCCTATCTGCAGCTTCACTGAGTTCATTAGGGCGGTTCATCCAGTGATTAATTTGTACCAGCGCCTGCCAGGGCTAAGCCCCGGCACCTCTAGGTAGGGTGACCAGATGTCCTGATTTTATAGGGACAGTCCCAATTTTGGGGTCTTTTTCTTATATAGGCTCCTATGACCCCCCACCCCATCCCAATTTTTCACATTTGCTGTCTGGTCACCCTACCTCTAGGCTTAGCAGTTCATAGTGCCGGCACCTCTGTGCTTGCTGCATCAGTTATGAATGTAAAAAAATTCCTTGAGCCCCAATACCTTTTTCATTACAAATTAAGCATTATACTCATCATAGTAAAGTTAAGCATGCGTGTATTTGCAGGATCTGGGCTCTATTAGTGTGCTTAACTTTACACACTGTGAGTTGTCCTATTGAGTATTACAGCACCAGGCAGTGTGGTGTAGTGGCTAGCGTGCTGAACTGGGGTTGGGAAATTTGGATTTTATTCTGGGGTGTGCCAGGTGGCCCAGTCACTTACCCTCATTTCCCCCCCCTCTGCAAAGTGAGGGAAATGATACAGCCCCTTTAGGTCTACTGATGAATAGTACTAGATAACAACTTACCCACAATGCCTATAACATGTGCAAGTCTTTGCAGGATCGAGGCTTTAGCTGCTAAAAATACTTCCCAACCCCAAAAGTGCGGAATGTATGGTTAATGAAAAACAAACCAAAACTCTGCCCCCTCGAAAAACAATTACAAACACTAAAAACGGTAGAGTTTCTAATCCCACCGCCACCTTCAATTACAAAACTGGAGCCAACAACAACAACAAAAAATACAAGGGGGGGAGGAGGGGAACTGTTCCATGGAACTGGGAATGGCTGAGCCATTACAAACATTGAATCTATCTCCCCTTGTAAGTATTTTCACACTTGCTTCTTATCAAACTGTCTGTACTGAGCCATCTTGATTATCACTTCAAAAGTTTTTTTTCTCTTACTTAATTGGCCTCTCAGAGTTGGTAAGACAACTCCCACCTGTTCATGCTCTCTGTATGTGTGTATATATATCTCCTCAATATATGTTTCACTCTAGATGCATCCGAAGAAGTGGGTTGTAGCCCACGAAAGCTTATGCTCTAATAAATTTGTTAGTCTCTAAGGTGCCACAAGTACTCCTGTTCTTGTTCCATGGACGGTGACCAAACTCCCCTGAAAAACTGTGGGTAACCCCCCGCCCCCCACTAATATTGCAAAGTTTATGGCTACTGAAGAAACGCGATTAGTGCAATATTGAAACGTGCACAATTGTGTGTTTTTGGCCACAACTCCCCTCTGAGTCCCTACAGAGCCCAGGGACGCATCTAGGCTGCGTTTATGTCACGTGCAGTTTGTCTGCCTTGTGCAACGCCCCCAGTCCGACTGTCCCAGCGGCAGCCTGCCTGAGCCCCTTTCTGATCAGGCAGTGAAGTAGCCACCCCTGCAGAGCGCCTAGGTTTCTATGGGTGTCCGGGGTCCTTGCGTCCTAGGTGACCAGATGTCCCGATTTTATAGGGACAGTCCCAATATTTGGGACTTTTTCTTATATAGGTGCCTATTATCCCCCACTCCCTGTCCTGATTTTTCAAACTTTCTATCTGGTCACCCTACCCACAATTCATGGCTGTCGGGCCTCCTGGAGTATCAGCTCCGCAGCTCTCCCAGTAACTAGGGCACAGCAGTGCTGCTCTGTTTCCTCCTGGACAATGACCATCACAGATAATGGCCGGGCCCGACCCGAGCGCCTGCCTCTGCCCAGCATTGGCGGCCCCCCCGAGCCTCTCTCTTGTTCCCGGGCAGGGGGTGCCTGTGAAGCACACAAGGGTGCTGGGTGGGTGACTGGGGCAAGGCTGCCAGATGACAAGCTCAAGGCACTCAGTGGGCTGCAGAGGCGGAGGGTGTCAGTGGAGGCTGGATGTGGCACCTGCCTGGCCCCTTCACCCTTTTGCTGGCCCTGCTCCCTGCTGAGGCGAGGGGCTGCGCACGCTCCACGATGCCCTCTCCCTGATAGATGCGTGGCAGCCATGCTGCATGCTAGACAGCCCTTGCCTGATTTCCCATTTGATCACCCTGAGGGGACGATGGCTCACCTGCCTGGTGGGTAAAGTGGGAGGGAGCACTATCAAACTCTATACGTTGATAGTGGGGAGGGCATAATTTAAAGGTTCAGCCATCCCCTGAACAGCTCAAGTCATACACACACACACACACACACACACACACACACCCCTCCTGGAAAGCAGCAAGAAGTGCTAATAGTGGGCCGCAGTGCCTACTGCAGCTGCAGGAGGGCCTCAAGGAAAAATGTTTGGGAACCCTGTTCTAGCCAAAAGAGTTCTGGGTTCAGTTCCCAGCTCTCTGTCACTGACTCATCGTGTGATCATGGGCAAATCATTTCACCTCTCCGTGCCTCTGTTTCTGACTTACCTACCCTATAAGGGGGGCTTTGGAACTTAATTGATTGACATAGTAACTCACTTTGAGATGTGCAGATGCAAGAACTGCGAGGTATTGTTATAGGGGCATGTGGCATTCCTCTTACCGTATATTGTTCTTTAGCCTCTTGGTGCAGTGTGGACACCGGAAGGATGTTGGAACCTTGGGGAAGTTCAAAAGCTGAGTCACTTTGCCACCATCCCTGCCATAGTAGAAATCATCTACCAACATGATGAGTTTGCTCTGGGACGAGTCACCTGCATTTTCACTTTGCTCTGGAGCTTTAGCGGGTGGAGACAATGCAGGGATAGGTGTGGAGGAGGGCGGTGAAGCAACAGCTGCAGTTTTTTCTGGAGATGGAGGCTTTGTAGGCTGAATATTTGGTTCAGGTTCCAGGGATTTTCCTTTCTTGAGGAATTCAACCATTTCAGGGCAGCAGTACTTCAGGAAAAAGAAAAGCCACACTAATGATTAGATTGTACGTAACAGTTACTATATCACTACACATACAACGTGGGCTGTGACCTCATTGGTTCGCACAAGCTAAGCAGGCTGGGCCTCATGAGAGCTGGGATAGGGGCCCCCCAAGCAACCTTCAGGAAGTCGTGAGGTGAATGCTCTTCCCTCCAAGTCAGTATGGCTGGGTGAGACTGGTGCTAGGAGGGGCAGTGCTAGTGGAGGGACAGTCCTTTCTAACAAGATATAAGACAAGGTCCTGCCTGCCTGGAGTTATTAAAGATCCTGTGGCAGATTTTCCATTCCCCCATCAGATCGTCCTACCCTTCTGTGGGGGAGAACACTGTTCTTCAGTATTGCCCTATACAATCAACAGTACTGACTAATGAATTCTTCGTCTCAGAATGGTTACTTACACACATATGTCCTCTTAAAGCCTCAGTCACTCGAAATTGGGCATTGCATCTTGGGCAGACTTTCCGGCCACCATCTTGTAAATCAAATGTGGGGACAGGAGAAGAGCTGACTGTAATAACAATAACAACAATAACAACAATAATAAAAAAGTGGATAAGCCAGAACTGGAATCTGATACTACCCCTACATTTCAATAAAAACTTGGACCTAACTTTTGGCCCTATTGAAAACGATTCATTTCAAGAGCAATAACGTTAACTGCTAACAGGACTTGAGAGGAGAGGTATGAAAACGTGCAGATTTATGACAGCTCATAGGAGATACACTGCACACTCAGCATTTCCCAGAACACAGTCACTAGTGTCCTAAGAACTTCCTGATAAACATCTTGCAGCTAAAATCATCTTCTCCCACTACTCCAATCACACTCCACTCTCCTTGTATCCTTTCATTGACTTCCTCCCCCCATCCACATCAAGTTCAAACTCCTTGTCCTCACCTCCAAACCAGGGCAGAAGTCCAGAATCTGGATGGCACAAAAGGTGGCTTAAAGCCAACTTTTGCCTCACTCCCACTGAGATGTGCCTTCTGTGCAGGAGAAGTAGCACAGAAGCTGCCCCTTTGCATGTCTGTAAAGAGCTCTGTATGCCCATGGTGATATGTAAATAATAATTCTAACAATGGTAGCATGTGCATTGATAACACTGAATACACAGTAATAAATACAAGGAGTAATCAGGAACTCACATGATAAATATAGAACACTCACTAGGAAAAACTTTAGGGCAATGAAGACATGAAATTCAACTGTATAGCTGTTTAACATGTCTGTTTCCCCTTTTATATGCAATCTAGATAACATGCTTAGTTACTTGTTTTCTGCTTCAGAAACTGAGTGTTAGGAACATCTTTAAAAGTCTGTGCTTTCAGCAGAATCTAGAAGGCTGCCACAGACCATACCTTTCAGCGATGAGGATGATGACTCTGAAACACTGGATCTCTGGGAACCATGTGCAGGGCTGCTATTAGAAACCACAAGTGGACCAGGGCTCTGGCCTAATGAAGGAATGGTATTCAGTGTGTTCACCAGCTTAGCAACCTCATTGCTGTTCTCTCCAGTTACTCCAGGTCTCTTCACAGTCACAAAGCTTGCAATGCTCACTGCCAACAGAAGGGACAATGGAGAAAAAAAAATTGAGGAACACAGGATCTGATATACCAGGCAAGACCCCTCATCTATCATGTCCTACATCCTGATATATCAGATCGGACTATGGCTCTAACATGTCCCCCATCATCTACTGTACCACATAAGACCATTAGTCCAGTAGTTCTGGTATCCTGACTCTGACAGTGATCAATAACTGATTCACCAGAGTTGTACAAGGAGGGTTGGGGGAGGACAACACTCTTCTGACCCCCTCCAGCTATCAGCTTACACTATGAAACACGAGATTTGTCCTGTGAATAACTATACATGTTATTGATTGTCATAAAAATTATCCACACCCCTTTTCTGAATCTCGCTGCAGTATTTGACTCTGACCTCCTAAATGTAATTACATTGTCTGGACCTCTTGCTGAAAGAAGCAGTATTTTTATTTGTTCTAAAAGTTGTTTGCCATTACTTTTGAACAATCCATCATTCTTGTATTATTGGACATCATAATAAAGGAATGACTAATTTCCGTTGTATCCTTCTTAATCTTAAAAACAGCTTCATATATAATGTTTCAAAACACACAAATAAGCAACACTCTGCGTTTCTTAGGGTCTTTCATCCGAGTATCTCAAAACATTTTATAAACACGAATTAGTTAATTCTCATACCCATCTGGGATATATGGAAGGATTATCCCCATTTTACAGATGGGTAAACTGAGGCACAGAGCAGTTAAGTGACTTGCTCACAGTCACGCAGTGTATCAGTGACAGAGTCAGGAATAGAACCCAGGACTCCCACTCCCATACTCTAACCACTAGGCCACATATTTGAAGATCAAATTATAAACACTTGAGTCCCACTGCTTTCCCATGGGAGGTCTTACCTAATTTGGGGTTAGTAGCTTGACTGGATTGCCCTGGCTGCTGCACAGTTAACTGTCCAAGTGTTGTTGGCTGCGTTGAAGTAGGAGTTGTGGAGGTGCTGGGAGTGGACTTACTTTGCTGTTGTGCCTGGGACTGTGGTACAGTGCTCCTGATGGTAAGCGTGGCCGGAATGACCGTAGTGAAAGTGTTGGTAGTGGGTCGGACCGGCATGGTTGTACCTGGTCTCACCTGGGCCATTTGAGAGAAAACCTGAGGAACTCCAACGGTTGGTTTAACAAACTGGGTACCTGGGGCTTCAAAAAGAACAGAAAACCTGGTTAGATCCTATGCTCCCACTTGATGTGTCAGATATCTAACTGCTTGTTTCCCAGCAGCATTGAGCTCCCACAACTCCCACTAACTTCAGTGGAGGTTATGAATGCTCAGTACCTTTGAAAATAGTTTCACTTTCCAAGATGAGTGAAATGCAAGAGGAAACATCAGAGAGTGAAAACTACATTTTCATATTCTTCCCTTTTTAGTAATTTTGGGTGGGATTTTCCAAAATAGCACAGTTTTCAATGGGACTCATACTCTTAGTCATACAGACCCTGATCCTGAAAACTCTTACACAAGTGCTTGGCTTTACTGCTGTGAGTGAGACTACTCACAGTAGGAAAGTGTTTGCAGGACCAGGGGCTTAGGTGCTTAAGAAAAATCCCATTCTTCACCGGCTACTGGAAACATAGATAAGGAAACAAATTTCAAGATATAATATTTTTAGTTTATGTTCCTTTAGTTGGATAAACGCTAAACAACAGATTTCTACCACATGCCAATTTAGTCTGTTTCAATGGATACACTGCTTACCTGGGACTAGGGTAATGGGTCTAACCGTTTGGCCTTGCTGTACGTTCAGAACAATTCCAACCTGATTCATTGTGTTTTGTACAGGCCGGACATTCCTTACTGGAAATCCCTGCATTTAAGAGGCAAAATTATTTTTAACATATTTATTTCAACAAACCAAAAACAGAGATAATCAGTGTGAAGTTTACCTATCACAATGTGGCGTTAGTTTCTGAATGGTCTTCCCAAATTACTTCTTTGAGGTTTGCTAGGTATGTTTAGGAGTGGAAGAGACAAATTCAGCAACCACAGCAGAACCAGTATTTGGTCAGTATGAAGTCTTTGCATCAATTTCAGTTGGCATTAGATCAGATCCTATATTTGCAAAGTCATAAATCCGATTTCTCTTCCTGTAAAAATCTGCTCAAAAAGATCCTCTAATCCCAATCCCACTCCCACCCACCCCAAAAAGGTAAAGGTGAATGAGGAATTTTCACATTGACAGCACTAGTCAGAGTAAGTCATATGAAGTGATCAGAGTGACAAACTGATATAAGTATTAGCCAAGGCTGGCTATTCTTCCAAGCATTTTTATTCTCAGTTTTCCACAGGGTGTTTGTGTGTTTGTTATTAAAATAAAACTAACAAACAGAACTGACTGATCCAAGAGCGCAGGCTCCTCTGGTGCCAGTCAATGGACCAGCATCATTCCCTTGTGTTGCCATAAGTACTGATAAAAAGGACTTTAAATGTAAGTGACAAGTATATCGTTACAGAAGTACTTAGAAGTACAAATATATTGTGGAAATACTACTTATGCATTTTATAGGTAAAAAATACAAGTGCAAGTACTTTCAATGCCTGTATTCCCTGGCCAATATATGAACAACTACCTAAATAATATAAGCACATAGTAGAAGAGAAAGAAAAAGAGCAACGATTAAACTTTATTTATATACACAAAAGAGAATGGAACAACAATAAAAAAAATCACTTAAAAACGTAAATAAATGTCCTTTCCATTATATAATTTTTTTATATATATTATGTACAAACAGCAACTCATTCGATGAAATGGGCATTTTCTTCAACAACAGTAGACTCTTGAACGTATCAACCTGAAGGCAGTTCCTTCTTGGCAAAAAGATTTGTCTAGCACCACCAAATAATCTTTCCACCGGAGCATGATTGGCAGGGTAGTATTAAATTTCATAAAAAGTTTAATGACTACTGGATATTTTTTCAGTTGATCAAATTCATGAGATGTATCACTGAGGAGTTGCATACCAACAATTCTTAAGTGGGAATCAGATGACCCCGATCATCAAAGCAGTAGAAATTAGTGGCATCTTTGGATGTTGTCGCTTGATCTGTAGGCTTTGGTAGGCTGTCACAACAAACCAGATCATGTAAAAAGAACTTCCTCTGAAATTTTTCTCTCAATCTGATTCAGCAGCCAACGCAACTTTAAAAAAAATCGTTGTAGCACAGAAACAACAACAAATGACTTTGCACTTTTGTTACTCACAGCTGCATCAAATGTCAAAATACGTCCAAACCTTTTCTATGGCCTTCTTTCACATTATCTACCAAGCAAGAATTGTATTTTGGAAAAAATGAGTCAAGTCCTGATTTTAGCACAAGCGTGGTAGGCAGAACCACACCATAGAAAGATTATGTTCTCCTCCCCTTAAGTTTGTCAAGTCCAGTGGCAATTGCGGACATCACCTCCAACAAGTCACCTAGAAATTCCAGCTCTGTGTTGGAGAATTTTGGAAGTGGGAGACGCTCTAACACAATATTAACTCTATCAGGCATGTTGTAAATATGGTGAAAGCTATTGAACTCTGAATTCCATTGCGTAGAGGTAGGTTTGGGGATTGTTTTTCCAAGCGTGTCATTCACAATCTCAGAACTCTTTGAACTCTGGTATGCAGTGTTGCTTAAGACAGAGCACTTACCCACCACACTTCTGAAGAGACACTTGTATTGAGAGTTCTTAGCAAGAGCCCTAGAAGCATCAGTAGTTGCTACCAAGTTCAGAGTGTACGAAAAACAGTCATATGTAGTGGAAAAATATGTGGTGGTAAAATATACATGAACAGTCAGCAGTATCGCTTGTCAAAACTTCATCAATACTCACATGGCTACATCTATCAGAACGTGGGGTGTCCACTTGTTTACTAGCATCCTCCTCCACTTTCTTATCAGCATCATCCTCCAACACTCCAGGTCCTGAAAACAGCTTGAAGGCTTTAACAAAACTGCTAACACTGTCTTTGCCAAGTGTTATTTTTATTGAGTCCAGATTAAACTATGAGTGGATCTGAGTCAATAGAGAAGTGATCTTATTGTTACCAATGTGTTCCAACAAAGTGCTGGAAGCCTAAGACTGCAGACTCTTGTTGGATTAGTAGTCAATCCAGTGACAGGTAATACCCATGTAGCTTCTCGCCTGACGTGTCCACACATCTCCAGTTGTGCAAACATAATGTAGAGATGCCAATTTGTTTTTTATGCTTTCAAGAACCAAGTTGTATTGTCCCAGTAGTTTAATTTTTATTTTTTCGGGTCACATGACAGCAGCCTTGGGAATAATTCCAGTAAATAAAGTGCGAAAGCCACACCCTTCAACAGTTGACAGAGTCAGCATATCACTAATAAAACTGAGAATTAGCGTGTCTATTTTTTCTTTGGACACTGCTCCATCACAGAGTCATTGCTGCAGAAAAGTAACAAAACAGGGGGCCTTTCACTTTGGGGTTTCCCCAGATGCTGTGAACAAGTCATCAATAGTTTGCTTGCATCCAAAGTCCTTTTCTCCATGGCTTCTCTAAAAAACAAATACAAATTATTTTATTTTATTCAGAGCAACTATGTATATATTAATTTGTAATTATTATTCTGCTCAAATACAAAAGGAAAAACAAATACTAAGTTGTGTATAAAACATACCATAAATACTGCTTGGGGTCTGCGTTTTACAAAAAACTGAATTAGAGTAAATATGGTATTTATGGCCTTTTCTGGCCTAGTAAATCACAATTTCGGGAAACATATCAAAACAGCAGTTCAAGAAATAATAAATATGTCCAACTGAGGGGAAAATATAGTGAGCAAAAAATGGAATGAACCATATTTAATTAATAATAATTATTTACCTGCATGTTTGGTGAAATCTGAGAACGCCTTCTGTTGTCTGTGAATTTTTGGTTTGCACAAACTACAAACTGCTTCAATAAAGTTCCCATCATCTTCAACAACATCTGAGAAGGAAGTTCTCACTACAATTGGCAACACTATTTTCAGACGCCATTAGTGACTGAAGAGATATTTCCAGATTAAAGAAGACTAAGAATATTTACAATTCAACAGGAAATGAAACAGGAAGTATAATCAATGATACAATGACTGGCCGTGGTGGCACTAGGCGGAAGCTGACAAAACAATTCCTTAGGCCCCAATTTCCCAATAGCCCCTTCAGCATTGGAGCATGCCCAGTACCTGGCAGGCATTTCTTATCCTACTCTGCAGGGTATGCAGCTACTGGGCTTGTTTTCTCAATGCAGCACACTGAGAGGTATGTGCCTGCCTGCTCTGCCCCCTCCCCCATACTGACTCACCCCTCCAATAGGCTGGACCTGTCGTAGTGACCAATCAGAAATGAAGAGGGCAGGGCCACCACCCTCCCTGGCTGGTGGAACAGCAGGAACAACAGAAAAAAGCCCATGGCAGCTGGAACTGAGGGCCTAAAGTGCCCAACCCAGGACAGTGGTTTCTGGGGACGAACCAGAATCCAGGACATTTTGAAAAAGAACTTGCAGATTTTTTTGATTTTTTTTTTTTTTAAGTTACTTATGATTTAGGTACCTTCAACAGCACTTAAATACAAGCACGAAGTACAGAATACATAAAAGTACTTAAGTACAGTTATGTAGAGTGCTTCAAAATATTTAAGAATACTTAAGTACATGGGAACAGAAAACTCACCTGTGTTGTTATGAAGATAGGTTGGCTGCTCACTGGTGAATTAGTAACATGGTTGGCATTCTGCATCACCTGAACAGGTCGTAACACTGGCTGTGTTACCATTGTGCCTAGCCCCGAGGTTGGGTTCTGGGTAAGGATTAGTGGCTGTCCACCTTGCTGAACAAGAGGGTTGCCAGCTGGAAGAAGAAAAACAGAAGTAGTCAAATAAGATCTGCTTATTTTACACACCTTAAATTTTTCACACTGATTCCTCAGTGACTAGTTTTAGCCTCCACAATTTGAATTAGTTACACAGAACACATTTTAAAATCTATTATCCAAAAGACCCACCTCTCCCATGCATCATTTTACTAGTCTGCACATCTGAGATTTTCAAAGCTGTCCAGGGAACTGGGCATCCAAATCCCACAGGCAGTTTTAAAAAATGTCAAAGATGGATTTCTCCTACCCCCCAGCATAGCTGTTGAACATTGCTCCGGCAGTGTGGTGAGACTAGAAAAGTCTCCGAGCTGACAAGAAGAGAATTCCCCTGGCATGCAGGTACTACTTCAAGGTGAGGTAAACTGTCACAGGACCTCTCACAAGCCCCAGTGTAAGAGGTGTGCCAGGAGTAGAACCACAATGCACAGCATTATAGAAATTCTAGGCAGCACTGCCCCCTAGAACAACCCAGTAATGGGAGGGCACAAAAGTGACCTTAAAGCCACCTTAGCCCCTCTTCCTGCCCCTGGACAGTGCTTGTATGTGCTGCACATCCAAGAGACACAGTACACAAACTCACTTTCAGCCTTAATATACAGAAAAATTATTGAGCACGTTTGGATCACACTAGAGCAGGGGTCAGCAACCTTTCAGAAGTGGTGTGCCGAGTCTTCATTTATTCACTCTAATTTAAGGTTTCGTGTGCCAGTAACAAATGTTAACGTTTTTAGAAGGTCTCTTTCTATAAGTCTATAATATATAACTAAAATATTGTTGTATGTCAAGTAAATAAGATTTTTAAAATGTTTAAGAAGCTTCATTTAAAATTAAATTAAAATGCAGAGCCCCCCAGACTGGTGGCCAGGACCCGGGCAGTGTGAGTGCCACTGAAAATCAGCTTGCATGCGTGCCATGGGTTGCTACCCTTAGAGTCATGAGAATATCCTAAAATACTTTAAGGCCTTTGCCCCTTCAGTTCAGAAACTCACTTTTTAAAAAAAAAAAATTAAAGAATGGTAACTCTTTTTTTGCCTAGCCTACATGCGGTGCTTAAGTCTGTGACAAAGATAGTATCTTGTGTCCTTTGAATTCAATATCCTGATATTACATGGTATGTGAAATATTCCATCACAATCCCTTTGGTCTCAAAGAGTTATTATGCACCTAATGGGTCTCCTTGAGGGAATACCATTGCCTGTTACTATTATATGCAGTGCTGGTTTTGCTACTCTCGTTATAGTTGCCTAACACTTTCCCTTATAAAATGGCATTTTCAGTTGCAGTTAATTTTGCAAGATTTTGACTGTCCAGGCTAAATTTTTCCATGACAGGTGTCTGCCTCAGGCTGAATTTTCTTAGGAAAGTTTCAGCATAAAATGGTTCACCATTTCAGAGAGAGAGAGATTTAAAAAAATATATGTTGTTCTACTTGTTAGAAAAATTCTTACAGTGTTTTGTTGAGAAGTTCTAACATCTATTGGCTATGTAGCAGGAACTTTATATTTGCCAGAGGGATGCCCTGGTGTTGAGGATGTTTCTTTTGCCATCCCCATGAAAAAACACCCAAATTTGACTATCAGCATCTGAAAATCTTCATTTGCACATGCTCAACAGAGGTTTCCTAAAGGACCCCCCCCAGCCTAAGGGGAGGATCCACAGGGCCTAGAAACCAAATAATTCCAGGGGACAACTAATGAGATAACAGGGACGGGAGTGAGGTCAAAGGGTCAAACAAAGGGAACCTGACGGGGACACCGAGCAGAGAACCCCGGACAGCACCCACTGCTCCTCGAAGGCGCCAAGGGAGCCAGCGGATGCCGCCCAGAGGAACTCTGCCCGGATGAGTGAGCGGATGGAGGATCGGAAATAGGCCCCACAGTCACAGGACACCTCATCAGCCAACCTCCTCTCCCTGGTTTTATAGATGGCCGTTTTAGCCAGGGCCAGGAGGAGGTTGACTAGGAGGTCCCATGGCTTTGTGGGGCCACGGATGGCTCAACAGAGGTTTGTTAGGCACTGACTCCATTATTCTTCAAAGATTCTGTCTGCACCATCCCCATACAGCTCCTTTATGTCAACCACAGTGACCATGCACCATTCCCAGAGTGCAACTAAGCATGCTCAGTCTTAGGGCTGCAGGGAACGTAGGGGCTTAGCAGGACTGTCCCTGCAACTGCCCCTCCTGGCACCCAGAGGGCTGCTGTGGCACCAGAACTGAGAACAGGGAGATAGTTTCTCCTGTGCGCTCAATGCTTCTTCAGTTGGCACCCAGGCAGCACGAAGAATGGAGAAGGAATAGGAGGAAACAACCTGACTGCACAAAAGAAAGGGGGTGGGAAGGAGCAAGAGAAGGGAGAGGAAGACGGGGCAGGCTAAGGGGACAGATGCCACAGGGAACTGGAACAGAATGAGAGAAGGACATACTAGGAAAGGGGAAAATAGGGCAAAAAGGTCTTTAACCACTGAAACATACTCTGCTACAGAACCTGCAATAGACCTCAGGATTCTTGAGTCCTATCATACCTCTGTTGCCACTAAATAGCAGTGAAACTCACTGTCAAATGTGCATCTCATTATCCTCCATGTGGGCTAGCCATCTGGGGGAAATAAGTCTTGTTAACTGAAGTCTATGCTGTGGACCTAAAGGTGCCAGTCTTGCTGATGACCCATGTGGGGGTCAATAAAATTCCATGTGATGGAATTTCTGTTTTGCAGTTTACTTGTTTTGTTTTAAGCTTAGGAAGTTAAATTAAAAAAAAAAAAAAAAGTTATGTCAAAAGAACATTGTGGTTGCAAAGTTCAGCATGTAAAAGTTAAATAATGCCCAATTAAGGTTGCACAGGCAACTTTAATTCACTCCCCTTGTGCATATACATTATGATACAGACTTTAATTACATGATCACAGAATATATTTTCCACAGAATCTCTGCCTCATTCAGTGAACAGACTAAAAGGTGCTCTGGGAATGAATCAAGGTTGTGTAACAAATGAGGCCGTGTCATCTGTATGAACCAGCCTCATTTGTTGCAGAAGGTTGGAAGGTGTGTAGTGAATGAAGCAAATGACTGAGAGGAGAAAGTGGGTTTTGTGCTTATGGCAGTTGAATGTAACCCTAGAGAACAGGAATCTATCCCTGCCTCTCCCACTGAGTTCCTGTCTGATACTGGGTAAGTCACTTAATCCAAAAACTTCTCACAAGTGCCCACTGGATCGTCCTCATTTTCTGGGTTCCCACTTTAGAACACCTGAGACCTGATCTGAAGAAGTGCTAAGAGCTCACAACTGCAACTGAAGTCAATGGAGCTGTGCTTTGAACATATACAGTGCTATAAAAAACACTAAGTACTCTGAATAAAAATCAAGCCTGTGGCATCTCAGGTTGGGCTCCTGAAATGAGTGGGGCATTTGACGATTTTGGCTTCAATCTGTCTCACATCCTCATCTGTAAAATGGGGGATAATACCATCTTACCTGACAGGGATATTGCAAAGATGAAATTCATTCACTAATGTTTATGAACTACTCAGATACCACAGTGACGCATTTCAAAGAAAAGCCCATGAGGAAATTTATAATATTGTATTCAGGATTTAAATTTGTGTGCAGTAAAAAAGGCATGGGGTCAGACATTAAATGATGAGGATAAAAAGAAGTATTGCATAGCTACCCATTCGGTCAGCAGCATTGTTCCTGTGCACTGATTGAGGCAGGGGTCCTGCAGAAAAAACAGTGTGATCATGTAATTAGAGACTGTATCAAAATGCCAAAATAAGATTGTATAGGTAAGAACTCGCCAACCCGAAACAAAGGAATTTTGCTGGGATCTCTTTTTAATGAGTATTTCATATAGTACCATTGGCAATTCAGTAAGAAGTGTTATTCTTCAAATCAGTACTGAACTAACATTAGCAGGTCTGTGCTCAAGGATATGTTATCTTTCAGAAGAGTTATAAAACCAAGGTCCTGAACAATCATGGTCATTAAAGATCCCATGGCAACATTTGTACAACAAGAAGAGTTAACAGTAGTATCTTGACCAAAATCCAACTAGAATAGAACGTTACATACCCTGCAGTAACTGTGGTTCTTTGAGAAGCTTTGTCCACAAAGATTTTGCTTTTAGTGGGCACACCCCATCCATGCAAGATAGGATTATTTTGGTCAGCAGTGTTAGTTGGGGCTATGACTGTGCTCCAGGTGCCCTTGCACCTCCCACACTCCCAAGCGCATAAAGGGCAGAGTGAACCCAATCACCCCTCAGTTTTTTCACCAACAGAGAATCCCACAGAAGTAGGAATTAGTAGAACTGGGCAAGGAGGGTAGGTTGTGTACTCTGTGTGGACAACACATCTCAAAGAACCCAGTTAATATAGAGGAAATAATCGTTCTTTCTTCAAGTGATTGCCCTGACAGATTTTATTCTTGGTGACTAAAAAGCAGTGTAGTTGTCCCAATGCTTGGAGGTGCATATTAGGAGTGCTACTTAAATAAATGGCTGCAGAACAGCCCTAATAAACCAGCATCTGATCTGGAAGCTTCTACTAAGGAACAGTGTCTTGTAAGTGTGTGGATTGGACACCATGTAGCTGCCCTACAAATTTCAGATAGAGACATTCCTCAAACAGGCAGCAGAGGTTGCCTGAGCTCTAATAGAATGAGCTCTCACCTTGCTAACTCTCAACATATCCTTAGGCAATTGCAAACATACCTAGGTAACCTCTGAGAGGATACAAGTTGTCCTTTATTTCTATCAGCAAAGGCCACAAATAGTTTGGGTGTGAGCTGAATGATTTAGTTCTAAGTAAAAGGACAGTGCCCATACTACATCAAGTGTGTGAAGTTTAACTTCCCCTTGGGCTGAATGAGGTTTGGGAAAGAAAACCGGGAGGTGAATAGATTGGTTTTCATGGAACTGAGAGACAACCTTGGGTGAGGTCTAAGAGTGAAAATGTCCTTATGAAACATCATATAAGGAGGACCAGTCATGAAGACCTGAGTTGCCTCTACCCTTTGAGCTGATGTAATGGCTATCAAAAATGCAGTCTTCATTGACAAGTGGTATAGTTGCTAAGAGCTCAAAGTGGGGATCATCAACCCTGCTAATACTATACAGTACGTCCTCGCTATAATGCCCTTCATAATAACGAACCTTCGGCTACAAAAAACCCGGTCCCTGAATCCCACTTCGAGCTCCACAACTGCAGTGGAGGCTGACAGCTCCTCCAGCCCTGCCACAGCCACGAGGCTGGAGGAGCTGTCAGCGGCCTCCTCTCCTCTCGCTCCTCCCCCCACTCCCCTCCGGGCAGCAGGGCTCTTTCACTATAATGAACCACTGGCTATAACAAACAAATGGCTCAGATCCCGACAGGTTCGTTATAGCAAGGGTGTATTGTACTGAAGTCCCAGGAGTGTGGGGCGCCCAAACTAGAAGAAAAGCCATGGATAAGGCCCTTCAGAAATCTTGCCACTGAGGGTGGGAAAATACCCTGTGACCCCTAGATAGGAAGGTGATGTTCAGATATTACTCCTAGATGGAGCCTTCTGGAGCTGATGGAAAGCCCAGATTGTTTCAGGGTTACCAGAAAGTCCAGTATTGGCGATTTGAAGGGAGAAAGCTGGTGGTGACGCCCAAACAGAAAACCGCTTCCATTTAGCTTTGCAATTAAATCTAGCTAAATATTTCCTGCTTTGTAGAAGCACGTTCTGAACCTCAGCTGAACAGCTTCTTTTGGTGGATATCATCTAGCCAGCATCCAGGCTGCCAGATGTAAGGAAACGGTGTCCAGGTATGGGAGCTGAATGGTGATGTCCCAGACCATGTCAGGCAGAGCGTCGGTGAAGTCTAGCATGCTGTACAATGTAAGTACATGTGTTCTGGAAGTCTGAGACATGTTCTCATGCATGTTCCTGCGGGAGTTTCACCTACATTTTGTTTGGAATCTCACTTGATGGTCATCTCTTGCTGATCTGGAGCCTAACAGTGCTCCTATAAATTCTACACTCCAAATCAGTGTGGATTTTTGTCTGTTGTCTGCCACTCGGATATAGTTTTGTAGGTATGATCATTTCTCATGCTCTTGCTGAAGTCGAATGTCTTGCTCGCCTCGCACCAGAGGTTAACCAGAATCCGGCCGTGTTCCTCTGCCCAGCTAGCAGTGTGCCTGTTGAAGTAAGGCTAGACTGTGATTCCTTGTCTCCTCACATAAGCTGTCACAACCTTGGTGAATGCCCTTGAACATAAAAAGAACATCAGGCTATACTATCCATTCTCAGCAATGGGCATCAAACCTGCTGCCTTGTGGAAACCCCAGTCTGTGGGGCAGCAGAGGACCATTTGTGATAGTATCTGTCTCCTCTTCAGTGGCTCCGAGGTCCTCCGTGGCCAACTGTAATATTGGATAGAGGAGTGCTTTATGAAGGATGGCTCTTGAAGTGACTGCTTCCTCCTTGGGGTCGGGATATAAATGCCTGAAGAGTGTAGTCACCCTTGAATCCTTCAAGGAGTAGAGAGCCTCATCCATTCCAGTGTTGAAAAGTTTGTTACCCTCAAAGGGGAGATCCTCAATTGTTGCTTGGACCTCCCTGGGAATCCCCAAAGACTGATACTATTACCTCCTCATGGCTACTGCAGCAGCCATTGTGAATGCTGTAGTGTTAAACATGTACAGCTCAACCTGTAGGGAAGTGTGGACAGTCAGCTGTCCCTCTGCCATGACAGACTTTGTGTTCTCCTGGGGTTCCTTGAGAAACTTGTTTATAAACTAAGACAACTTATCCCAGTTTAAAAAAAAATGTATTTCGAGATGAGGGTCTGATAGTCACCCTCATCCGGAGGCTAGCTGACAAATATACCATGCAGTTGAAGAAGGCCCCATTTCTTATCCTTTTTTCTCAGTGTGGACCTAGGAAGTCCCTGTTGTTTTGATCTCTCCTGAACTGCTGCCCCTACAAGAGAACCCAATGCTGGATGAAAATAAAAATACTTGAATCCCTGATCAGAAATGTGGTAGTCCTGGTCAGCTCTTCTGAATGTAGACAGGTTGGATATTTTTTGCAGGCTCCAGTAGCCCTTTATTAATGGGCATGGCAAGCCTGACTAGCATAGAGGGATGCAGAACATCCATGAGTTTGTGCTGCTTCTCTCATATCACTTCAAGGGCTACATCTAAGGTTTCTGCAATATTTTTCATCAGGTCCTAGAATACCTTAGACTCATCAACTGAGGCCAACATGGGTGAACTCACTGCCTCATCCAAGGCATAGCAGGCATCAAGAGTGCCCATCATAAATAGGCATCAAAGCATCACACAAGGAACAGGTCTTAAATCCTGGTGACTTAGATTCTACAATAATGCTAGTACCCCAGCACAAGGGGAGGGATGTAGGCTAACTTATCTAATTATATAGAAATAAAACCAATGGGTGCAAAAAAGAGAAAACTTCACCAATCAGATATTATACACAAGGCTAAGAAAAAAATGACAGAGTGTGCAGCGCAAGTAGACATTGCAGGGTTCCAACTCGCTGCCATGGGCAGTAAGAAGGAAGTGAGGGCCAGTTGGGCCTGCTTTTCCCTTTATGCAGTCAGATGGGGAGGTGTGAGGGCACCAAGGGTGACCACTGACCAAAAGAATCAGTCTCCTCCGTGTGTGTGTGTGTGTGTGTGCGTGTTCGTGCCAAAAGAATCAGTCTTCTGTACGGGTGTGTGTGGGGATCGGTGTGTGTGTGTGAAGCACAGCAAGAGTCCAATGTGTGTGGACAATCACTCGAATGAAATTATAATCTGCCTACCAAAATTCCCCTTGTAGTTTTAACTGGGCATAGTATTCTCTCTCACTTCTTGTCTTAAACTGTTGTATTTGCTGTATCCTGTCAGGCTGTTGTTGCGTATTAAAGATGGGGAAAATATTCCCTTATACTGTTTCAATATTTTAAGTGTGTAAAACACTTTGCTTCTTGGGGTGAAAAGTGCTACAAGAATGTAAATTATATTTTTATGTGACAGTGAAATTATTGAATCAAAACTGTCACACTAACGTGGAAGATGGACACCTACCACATTTTCATAAGAGCATTGCTTCTTTTTTTTTTTTTTAAATTAGGGAACCCTGTCAAAGCTGGCAGAAAATATTGGACCTTCTAGCTATATATGTAAACACCAAGAATTATTTAGGTGGGGCACAGAGGTAGAAGTAGGAATAATTGAAGGAAATAACAGGGAACATGTAGACTGAATGCCAATTTAAAATACTTGTTGGAAGTGAGATGTATTTATGAAAATCTCCCCAAGGAAAGTGGTGGAAGCCTAATCAATTCAGACATTTAAAACTAAACAGTAGGAAACAATCCTGCTCCAGCAGAGAAATGGACTAGAGGAACCAACAGATATTGTCCATCTTTAACTTTTGCAATTCTGTTATTTGATTCATGGACACACAAAGGCACCGCTGTCCACTCCACTATGTCCTTCTACTCCCCTTCTTCTGAAGGAGAGTTAGGCCATGTCTATACTAGTGAGCTTACGGCGATGCAGCTGTGATGCTGTAAGATCACTCGTGTAGCTGCTCTGGGCTGATGGGAGAGAGCTCCCCCGCTGACATAGCACTGTGCACCCTATCCCGTATGCCTGCAAAACGTATGTCGCTTAGGGTCCCCCCCCACACACACACACACACACCTGAGCGACATGAGATTTGCCGACAAAAGTGGTAGTGT